AACGGCTTTGGTGACGTCAGAGGAGAGTATTGGCTTGGAAACGAAAAGATTCATCAACTGACTGAGATTCCGAGCCAGCTGCGAGTGGAAATCAACACAACATCCAATGGGAATAAATATGCCATGTATAGTAATTTTTCGGTTACTAACGAGGCAACTAACTACACACTGTTTGTTGGTTTCTATTCTGGCTCAGCGAGGGATCAACTTAAAAACCATAACGGTATGGCTTTCACTACCAAGGACCGGGATAATGACAAAAACAGCGGTAACTGTGCTATAAACTACAGAGGAGCTTGGTGGTATCACAACAGTTACCACTCGAGTCTGAATAGTAACTATGGAGACAGTGATTATTTTTGGTACTGGAGCCCCCTCAAGGGAAGTGAGATGAAACTCAAACCAAAATCTCCGTGAACGACACATTTTAGTTTTTGCCGGGGTAAAGTCCGTTCAAACCGAATGAATCAGGAGAAAAAGCTTTTAAAAAATAATGATTTTTTTAAAAATAGTTTCTTTTACAGTGCATCATGATTTGTAGCTAAAATGGTACTCTTTTCAAGGTGGCCTTCCATCATCTGCACCAAGCAACCACATCTTTCTCTCCCACGTTTCCCTGGACATTCTACGCAGCGTCTGTCAGTGATGTAAATCACAGATCAATTAAATAGAGCAGTTTCCAATTAAGCGTCGAAAAACCAAAACCAAAGTAATCACTCTGGCCAATCACAAAGCACCCAGACAATTCAGAGAACCAATCAAAACACGAANGTATTGGCTTGGAAACGAAAAGATTCATCAACTGACTGAGATTCCGAGCCAGCTGCGAGTGGAAATTAACACAACATCTAGTGGAAATAAATATGCCAAGTATAGTAATTTTTCAGTTACTAACGAGGCAACTAACTACACACTGTTTGTAGGTTTCTATTCTGGTGACGCTTATGACAAACTTACTGCTCATAACGGCTTTGCTTTCACTTCCAAGGACCGTGATAATGACAAAAACAGCGGTAACTGTGCTGTAAACTACAGAGGAGCTTGGTGGTATAACAATTGTTACTCTTCGCACCTGAACGGTAACTATGGAGACAGTTATTATTATTGGTACTGGAACTCCCTCAAGGGAAGTGAGATGAAACTCAAACCAAAATCTCCGTGAAGGATGCACTTTAGTTTTTGCCGGGGTAAAGTTCGTTCAAACCGAATGGAATGAAATTAATAATTTGTTCTTAATAGTTTCTTTTTCAGTGCATCAGATTTGTAGCTAAGATTATACTCTTTTGAAAGGAGGCCTTCCATCATCTGCACCAAGCAGCCACATCTTTCTCTCCCGCGTTTCCTTGGACGTTCTACGCAGCGTCTGTCAGTGATGTAAATCACACATCAATTAAATAGAGCAGTTTCCAATTAAGCGTCGAAAAACCAAAACCAAAGTAATCACTCTGGCCAATCACAAAGCACCCAGACAATTCAGAGAACCAATCAAAACACGAAGCAAATATAAGTAGATGAGAAGAAGCGCGGGAAAACGAGTGCGAGAGAGTCACAATTGGTTTTGGTTTTACATCTGATTCGATGACTAAGTGGAGGGTGTTTTTAAGCCTGTCAATCAGCGTAGCAATGCAAAACCAAAGCAAATACCAATTATTTTTGACACTCACGTGAAAACTGCTCCATGATCTTATCATGAACATGTTGGTGCTGTGAAAGAATTCCGCGGAGGAAAATATATCTACCCTTCCACTGTCACAACATGTGCATAAAATTAATGTCAGCCAGCGACATGTTCAGCTGCCTCGCGTGAAACGTGTGAGTCACCCGCACCAAAGGATTGCGAAATACATATTTTTTGCCGTTATCATCATCATCGTTTCTTGATTTCAAATAAAGCATATTCTGTAAATTTCCAAGTACAGGAAACCTTGACTCTCGCGGTTTTAACAAATAAAAATTCAACGTCGTTGCGTCCTAGACTTAATGTCTCGAGAATGGCACGAATGCTGATAACGCGCGTATAAAACGCGTTAGACAAACAAGTTGTCAGATTTGACCTTCCACTTGCCACCTTTCATCTCTCTGTACTTTGCTGATCTTCTGTGCTTCCTTTTCGAGTTTTGAGCAAGTTCGTCAGGAAGAACTCTCCTGTTCAAAAGAAAAAGTAAAAATAAATATTTTACATGGACTGAGCTACATTGTAATGCCGTTTTCGTAGGATCTTCGTATAACACTTCAAAGTGTTTCCGTTTCGTATTACCCAATCAGAAAATAGCGCGAACACTCCCGAGAACACGTCATCATCACGACAGAACAGTACGTCGTGTTGCGACGAAAACCGCAGGGTTAGGATGTTACTA